TATATATATATATACACATATATATACAAATAAAAATAAGCAGTAACTTAGGGCAGAAATTTACTTAATCTTTTATCTCGATCAAGCCCTCATTCTTCAGATCTTCTTGCGTCTCATCAAACTGAAGAGCTAACCCTTCGAGCTCCAGATCTGTTGCCACGTAGAGTTTCTTCCCTTCCTTGCTATCTTTTATAATACGTTCTCTTGCGAAAATGGGCTTTAAAAGGAAGCATCTGACAACCAAATTAAACTTATCCGATGGAACAAGATCAATAATTTTCCGTCGGAATTCGGGACACAAATTGTGCTCGCAATCATCGATAACAATCGTTTGTTTGAGCTGAATATTTTTCTCAAGTTCCATCAGCATCAACCTCTCCACTTCATCTTCCTTCGTGTGATCCTGCACCGATCCAGTGAGATTTTTTCGGATATCATCTGATCGAATTAAAATAGCTGTTGTACAGACGCGCTCAATGTACTGCGTGGACCATTCCGTTTTCCCACTAGAATGAATACCAAGCAGAAGGATAACAGATGGCAAGGTGTGGTTAATCTTTAGGCTCTTGGAGTGCCGCTTTCGGTGTTTTGAAGACGAAGAGTCATGACGCTTGTGGAGTTTTTTAGGGCTAGGTTCTCCCGAGTTAAAGCGCACTAATTTGTTGGATTTTTCCGGACTCCAGTAATTTTTATAAAAAAAACGAAAGGCACCCCCCAGAAAGAGTATAATCAGGGTGTACCAAATGAGAAGACGCTTTTCCTTGAAAAGTGAGCCACTTCTGGGGGAAAGAGGTGTTTTGGAATTGCTTAACATGTTCTTTACACTGTGTATTTTTGATTTTATCTATTTTCCTTCCTTTTTCCTTTTATGGATTATTAGTTGTGTGTGTATTTATTAAATAAAAAAAGTTTCCCTAAGAAAAAATTAAAACAAGATCGCACATTCCGAGTCATTTTTATTCATGTTATATCTGCTCAATACTTATAATATTCAGTCTTCAAACCTTTCACCCAGACAAACTGCATGTCGCCATTTTTTTTTTGTAGAGATTTCTGATCCATCTTCAGCACAATAAATAAAACATTAAAAAAAAAGTATCTATCAGTAGAAACAAATTACCATTTCTTATTTAGAGCCCACCTGAAATAGTGGATGAAAGCTCCTTTGATGGCAAATGAATTAAGTCTAAATATTCTCCATTGGAACTATCTATTATAGTCTTCTTCATACACATACATCTCTATCCCTTCCGCTTTTCCCTCGAGAAAAGGAAAGAAAGAGGATGTCTGAGACCTCTAAGCCATTAACGCACACTTTTGTCCCACATGTCTATATTTACCTTGGAAAAACGTCGTACAACCGTATATCGTTTTCGTCGGTTTATTATTATTATTCGTTAATACAATGGGATGCACCCCGTATTCCCTTCCTCACGATCCCCCCCCCCTCCCTCTCCCCCCGCGCCTCCGTTGCGGCCGGCCCGTCAACCCTTTTCCATCGAAAGGGTCAGCCCGAAGCGCAGTGTGCTGTCCTTCTGTAGAACGTTCTTCTGCACCACCACACCCCACCGGATGGCGTCGTTAAACCATCCCCGCAGCGTTGCCGCACAGAGCCCCGTACTCTCCGCCTTGCACGCGAGCACCCAATTCGTGAGGGTGACCCAGACCGGCGCGTAGGCCCCGTTCGTGGACCCTGCCCTCGCCCCCACCGCCGCGGACCGCGCAAAGTTCGGCACGCAGATCGGCAGGCCCTGTGAGAAGCCCAGGGTGACGTGGGCCCGCGAGGCTACGAGGTCGAAGTCGTAGGCACACGCCACGAGGGTCGAGGCCGCGAGGCGTTGCATCAGCGCGAGCCGGACCCCACTCCAGGCGTCCGTGGTCCGAGTCATCTTCGCCGCGACCCCCCAGTCGACGCCGGTGAAGCCGAGGCCGGCGTAGAGCACGCCGAGCTGCCCGGGGTCCCCTTCCCGCTGCTCGAGGTAGGAAAGCCGCTGGTGCTCAAAGCCCGCGCCGGCGAGGATGTTAAAAAAGGTCGTCCCGCAGCTCACAAGGAGGTTGCTGCTCCCCAGCCCGTTCCGCTGGTAGCCGGTGGAGTAGTAGAGGTCGTTCCGTCGGTACGACACCGTCAGCGCTGTGACGTCCGCGGAGGCGGGGGCGATGGTGTTGACCGAGACTCGACCCCGCACAACCAGCCCCTCCAGCAGCTCCCGCAGCTCCGTCTTGCCCATCACCACGCCATCGCTGTTGAGCATGAGGCTCTGCGCCGCACGACAGACCCGCGGGATGTCGAAAAGGCAGGAAAGCTTCACCTTTCCAAGCGCTTTCCCATCGTGATTGAGGAACATCCGGGGGGAAAAGGTCAGGACGTTGGTTGAGGCGGATGGCGACGGCGCGACCGCGGTGGCTGTCTCCACGGAAGACAACCGAAAGGGGTGGACCTTGCGATTAACAACCTCGGCGTTGTCTGGTTGACCGGTAAAAAGTTTGTCCTTGTCACTTAACGATGAAACCTGCGTAGTTTTTAAGGCCAAAACTACAAGTGACTCGTCCCGAAACGTTTTTCGAAAGAAATCATCCACAATGCTAAAGTAGGAATCAAGTGTTACTGGAGCTTCCATCTTGTTGAAAAAGTTTGGGCACCTTGGTTGTATTCCCTGTTTATTCGCTTTCTGCGTTTCAACAGTTAACCTACTCTTTCCGATATATACTCCCTCTTTATCAAAAAAGAAAAAAGAAAATGAATGAATAGATTCCATAAAGTAATCCAATAATGGCAATCACTCGCACGTTAGGTTCTCAATAAACAAAAAAAAGGAAGCATACGTAAATTCACTCTTCACTCCACACCAACAAAAAAATGATAGAGGCTTTCGTATTAAATAACATCATTGATTATGCGTGTGATGTGGGACTGTACTGTGAAAGATGATGATTTTTTTCATTTTACAGATCCATATGCACTAATATACAAAATGAAATGCAAATAATTTAATACTTTTGCCTTTTAAACAATCATTGAAGAAATAAAGGCATGAAAGCGTGAGGCATAGGCAAATGGTGTGATACACGATATCCGTTTAGTGAGATGTATAATACTTTTAGTCATCGTCTCAATTCGTTTAGATAGGTCGTATTCTTGTAAAATATCGATGATACCAAGGTAATAAATCTCTTTCCGTAGCCCTAGCACCTCATTGCTCAGCATACCCCCCTCATCGGCAGTGAAGCATCGCCCATCCACCGCAGGGGAAATGTCTTCCGAAGCGTTGGGTTTGCTTGCCACGTTTGAACCACCGTGCGCAGAGAAGAACCCGGTTCCCACAGGTCGCCCGGTTGGGGGGAGTACGTGAACCCCCAGCAACAATGAATAATCCATAATATTTGAATATTTTAGAAAATCGCAGTCCCTTTTGAGCTGTTCAATTAGTATCTGGCGGCGCTCGCTTCCAATATGAATGGGATTGTGAATGTCTAAATCCTTCTGTGTACAGGTTGCCCGCATCTTCTCCGCGTCTGACGCGAATCTGCCAATGGTACTGCCTTTAAGGTCAAACTTTTCGTGAATAGGATTTGTTGTTGCAAATACATTCTGCATGACAATAAGGTTGTAGGACTTGGTGCCGATTTCAAGATGATAATGCCCGACAAAATGAGGCAAAAGGGTAAAAGGGTTATCACGAACATGATAATAGTAGCGGTGAAGGATGTTACGCAAAAAACTACTCTCTCGTCGCGTCATCGTTTTAATAACCCAGTCACGTCCGCAGAAAAAAAGCTGCGCGGCGGATTTGCCAGGAGTTGGGATGCTGTGCCATCGACTATTACATAATACATTACAGAATTTTTCCGAATTGATATTGAAAAATTCCCGTATATGACGGTAGCACATAGGAGAGTAATCCACAAACTTGAAATCAACCGGGGGAATATCGTCTTCACCCTCACTGTCATCGCTACTTTCGAACCTTGAAGTTTTTGATATCATACGCGCTTTTGCTGTGTCGCTTGTAAAGGTTTCATTCTTCAAGAAGTTGTGCGGATTCCTCGCCATCCATTCCATGCTCCAGGAATTATAGGTATCGTCTAGTATGTCATCCAGGGTCGTGCGCACCCTGGTTGTGATAATTCTGTGAGAATTGGAAGGTGTGTGTTTCGTCTTCACCTGCCCTAGTTCCCCACCACAAAAGGTAAATCCGCATTTCTGCCGATAAAAGTTCGTCGTGATCTCGATGGAAAAGTCACGTTTAGAATTAAGAGGGCGCTTTTTTTCTGGGTGTGAGATACTCACAAGGCTAGGTTCGAGGGCTATTTTTAGGCACCGAATGAAGAGTTTGGTAGCGTCGTTTGGCTCTTCATTGTCTATGGAATATCGTTCAGCATCTTTGAGTTTTAGTCTGTCGATATTTGAAGTGCTAGCAGTAAATGAGTCATTTGTCGCGTCCAGATCGCTCTCACCTAATTCGGAGGTGTCAGGGGGCTCAAAAGTAATAGAAGCTAAGAGTTCTCTGTTGAAATGCATTAAAAAAAAAAGAGATTTGAAACAACAAAAATGTACTGAAAGAGAGATTAAGTTGCACTTTTGAAGGACTTCAATCTTCTTGCCGTTTTGCTGGATTCTGTGGTAATTTCCCCTTTTTACACAACAAAAGAAGAATAAAGAACTTTTGACCTTTAGCGTTTTTTTCTATGCGCTCTAGTTCAAAATCCATACGCATACTAACCATGTGTATGGTTATAAAACAATTGAATAGAAAAAGGTAAGACTCAAAGAGAAGAATACAGAAAAAAAGGTTTGATAAAGTGTCATTTTCTTTGATAACATTTTCTGATGTTAGTTTTTACTTCTGACTAGATGACTTAGCATATAATCATTAATCGTACCACAATCCCTATGGGTTCTCCCTTCACAATTTCAATCGGATTAAAAAATACAACCTCGAATTTATTTTTCTTCCTATGAGTGCCGGGAGCGTTTCTTGAGCTTCTTACGATTTTTAGGACCGGTTCCATACACTTGACACAATGCAATTGCCTTTTCACCCTCGCTTTTAACACCTTTAACAGTAGCAAAAGCAATCTTTTCCGACTCTTCAATTAGTGGTTTGATCTCGACAGAAACCTCTTTGGTGCCGTCTTGTGAATTAGATTCTTCATTCTCATCTTCGCATTTCAGCTTCACCTCGAGGTCGTTATCAGGCGGGGCGGATTTCTCGACCTCGCTTGTGGTCTTCACACGAACCGCCGGCCCCAGACGCGCCAACACGTTGCTGCCTGGGAGTGGAATCCGGGGCAGCGGGCGGTGCGCCAGCGCGCT